GGGTGAGAGACAGTGTCAAAAGCCTTCCGGAAGTCCAGGAAGACTATGTCCACTGCTACCCCTGCATCTAATGATCTGGTGATCTGATCGTAAAAGGCCACCAGGTTGGTCTGACAGGACCTGCCACTGATGAACCCATGTTGGTTGCCCCTAAGCATGCAGTCCCCTGCTGGCCCCTCCTGGATGTGCGCCAGAATAATTTTCTCAAACAGTTTGCCTAGGATCAAAGTAAGACTAACTGGCCTATAGTTTCCCGGGTCTTCCTTCCTCCCTTTTTTGAAGATGGGAACCACGCTGGCCCTCTTCCAGTCCTCCAGTACCTCTCCAGAGCACCACGAGTGCTCATAAAGCCGTGCCAGGGGACTTGCAATGACCTCAGCCAGTTCCTTTAGAACTCTAGGGTGGAGATCATCCGGACCGGCTGACTTGAAAACGTCCAGCCCCTCCATAAGCTCCCTAACTAAATCCTCGCTAACCCTTGGCCCAGGTGTGCCACCCCCGGGGCCCGAGGGGGGCCCAGCAGGGAGGTGGCTGTTCTGGTCCCTACTTAGGGACCAGAACAGTTGCAGGTTTCAAGGAGATACGGGGAGGGAGAGGGTGGAGGTCTGCAAACCAAAGCCCACTGCTATCTGAAGTGTTCTAGACACCTACAATGTGCATCACAACTGGATCCATGCAGGAAGTTATTACAGGGAGCAGCAGGTCAACTACGGTAAGTCTGCCTGTTTCAGCAAGTGGGGAAATGGGAATATCCCTTTTATTCTAATCTACTAGTGCTACCTATCCAAAGTTAGCTAAGTTATTTGTGTTCTAAATCAGTGGGGGAAAAACTCTTTCAAGATGACTTATCTATTTAGAAATTGTGGTAGGCCAGTGGGGAACAACCTTTTTGGCAGGCCTTTGGGGGGATGACAGGGCTAGAAAACCCCTAATTTAAGCCCCTGGCAGATGTTACAGGTAAGCAATTAATCTGTTAAAGGCACCAAAAAATATTCCACAGATGTGTATCATTTTTGTGGCTGATTTCCATCGCACCTTAAATGAAATGTATGGCAGGGTAACAAGAGAAAGCTCAAGACTCGGGTGCAGTCCTGGGGTTGGGACCACACTGGCGTCTGCAACCAGCTCTAGTGTATTCTCAGGATTAACTGTCTATCTGAGCCATAGGACCGCAGGCATCTCAACCAGCCTAGGACCCTGGGCTCCATTTCCCTAGGATCCTGGGCTCTGCATGTACTGACAAATGACACAATTGGGATCTGATCCTTGATCCTGCTGTGAATGTGTAGCCTGGCAGGAGGAGCAATTGTTGGGATTGGGCATCAGATCCCATTGTGCAGTTAAATAAATGTGTGCCAGGGCCTTAGTCTCTGCTCTTCTGGTGACCCTTTTTTGTGGAGGAGGAAGGGTACGTCCATGACACACATGTCCCAAGCATCTTGTTCATTATGACCTATCCACAGCTAATAGAGATTCCCATTGTGATGACTGTTGCTGTCTCCCTATCCTATATCACTTGCTTTGCTGTCATTCTGCTGTGCATGAGCTGCTTGACTGGGATATCTCTAGGCACCATCTGCTTGCACCTCTAATGACTTGCGAGAAGGTTTGATGGGGAGAAAAGATTGGTATTGTGGGAAAATGGGGGACCTCCTTTCACCCTTTCCTGACTCTGCCTTTTCTTTTGTTTTCCCTTCCTCTCTGCTCTGCAGTTTGCATTATATTTTGTGGAATATATTCAGACCCTTGATTCCCTTTAACGAATCCTGTGGCATGTCCCAAAGGAAATGATTTCACACACAAGTCTTGGTGAAGGCTTTTACTGAGAAGAAAAAAAAGGGAAAAAAAGTCCACAAACTTGTTTTAAATCTCTTCTGTAGTACCCCGCAGAAAAAAATCCATCCCATTACTCAATGGTTTTTGTAATCCTTTAGCAGTGGAGCCCTTGCTATATAGGGCTTCTGTGTTGAGGGTACACATAAATATCAGCTCCCTTTTCTGTGCGTTTGTACAGCAGCTAGTACAATAGGATTCAGGTCTGGGAGCCTCTAGAAGCTACCCCAACCCACATGATAAAAAGTGAGATTTGTTAAAAGCCTGTCTCGTTATCCCAGCATGCTTTAATCTTGTTTTGAAAAAGATCCATCTGAATAGAAAACAAGTAGCTTAGCCAACTCAGCTGTCACATCCTGCAGAACAGTCATGATGAAACTTTGGCCAAAACCAGTTGCATCCTAAGTGACTAAGTACCATGGGACCTTAAAAGACCTAAAGAGGATGATTAGGGCCTCATTTTATAGCTGTGTGAGATAGAGAGAGAGAGTACTCTTGGATTAGATGGGCATGTGGTCTGACCCAGGTGGCAGCATGTTATACTTTCATCCCAAGCGCCACACGTTCTGAATGGATCTCTACAGGTGTCTTTGGCCCTGAAACTCTTAACTCTGGATGCTAAACCTGAACTAAAACTTTTGCCAAGGTTTTCAAGAAGTGGCTAGTGATTGGGTTTCTCAGTTCTTCAGTTCCCAACTTGAGACATTTGAAGTAGATTTGTGTTCAGAAACTATTAAGCAAGTTCCTGACTATGGTTATCCCCTTTAAGTGTCTCGCATTGAGCACTCCCAGGTTAAAGCATCCAAAACCATTAATCACTCCTGAAAAAAAAAAATAACTACCAGGCCTTGGGGTTTTGTTTTTTAATGGAGGAGGATCTTGCTGGATTCTTCCATCATTATGCACAGTCCAATTTCCTATGCCTTATTTGCTACAAAAAGACAAAATCACAGACATCAAGAAAAGCTTTTGAGGTAGGGTTACTTAAATGCATCCATAACTCTGTCTTTGATTTTAATATAGTAATGATGCAGATGGCAACCGGCAATCAGTTCTTGGGGAGTGGCATCTTTTTGTTGTATCATATCATCAGCCCAAGTGAGTACTGCAAAGAAAAAAAAGTTTTAATAGCAGCAAGCAATTTTACTGTTAAATATATCTACCCATCAGCATTGTTTTGGCTGCAATACAGAATGTGCTATTGACATTATGCAGCCCCATTTGAAATACATGAGTGCTGCACATATTAAATTTAGAAACATGCAGATTTCTCTCCACAAATTGTAATTTCTTTTGTGTATCTGACCAGGCTTTTGGTAGGAATCAGCTGTCTCCCATCTGGCATCATATCTCACTCTTTTTTTTTTTTTAACTTTGTTTAGAAGGGATTAACGATAGTGTTTCTATTCTACAGTCTGCCTCAGCCCGTTATTTAGGTGAAATCAGGAGTACCACAAAGTCTAAGAACATGCTGAGCACTGTATAACGCATAGAACAGAAGCTTTAGCAAGAGATCTTCTGGCAAGCTAAGTTGTAAAGGGACGTGGCTTGAATACAAGCAAACGTTTTTGTTGTAGAGGTCTTAAGCATGAACATGCGGTTTGTGGTGCTGCAGACCCATCTGCGGCACTACGAACTGCACACACTGCACGTGCAGGCCTTCACTGCATTGCTAATTTGCAGCACAGCAGGGGGGGGTTGACATTGGGAGATCTTGGTGTCAAAAAAACCTGAGGCAGAAAGAAGTGAGGTGTGCACCACCTGAACCTGGAGCCTGGCTGGCCAGAGACACATTCCACCTGCCAGCCAGGCTCCGGGCACCTGGATTACTGCCACTCAAGCCTCAGGAGGCCCCCAACTATGTGTCACTGCTATTTGTCCCTGCAGAAATGCATGTACATGCTCATCTGGATATGCCCTTTAAAAGGAAACACAGTAGAGCCTCTTCCTCCTAGGGGAATCCCATATTTCTATGAAGTAATAACCCATCC